CCCCGGATTTATCTCGCTACTTTAGCCAAGGGGGGCGGGCGCTTATTCGAGTAAGAGCGCTGATTACAGTGCGCTATTTGATCGTTATTTGGTAGTCTTCGTTGTATCTTTATAACCTTCAAGTGACCATTTTTCGTTAGTAAATCGTTCGAAGGTGCATGTATGAGTACACAGAAAAATATCGGAGCATTCATGAGTGAGTCTATTGTGTAGCTGTAAACAAGAAAGGCAGTTCAGAAATATTTTCTTTTTCAATCACCCTAGGACAAGAGGCAAGTCCTGATCCATTTGGAGAGAGCTGAAAAGGCAAAGGTAAGTTCAGTGGGATATATGGTGCAGTGTGAACTTGTGCATTTTTACAAAGTAAGAAACTATACGAAAAACGTCACGGCAGGTCTGGAAATGCCATATTGTTAACGCCTTGCACATAAATTAAACTCAGCAGACGCTTGTTTATTATGAGTTGCAAAATCGTAAGGTCATTCCTCTGAAATATAACCTGCACTGAGATTTCTGTTAAACTTTACCTATTGGTAGTTTACCTGGAAGGAATTTAACGTGGGGTCCCCGTACTCGTCTAGGAGAAGCAGCTCATTGTGTATAGCTAGTACATATATCCCTTACAATATCAATATGATCTTTCTTACGAGAACACGTTTGAGCACGTTTCCGACTGCTGCTTCTTTTTTGGCACGAGGACATGTTTCATATTTCTTCTCCAGAAAGAAATGTTTGTGCTTAATTTTATGAGGAAAAAATGATAAGTCACCACACTCGTTTACGAGAAAAAATGGGGATTTACCTCGTTTTGGTGAGATTTGGCCATAGAACAAAAGCCGCCAATTTTTTCAGCTGCACCCTTTTATCACGCGTGAAACGTAAAGCAATAGTAAAGAATAACTTTCATTATACACTTGGAGAGCCCCCTTACCATGGAAACCCCTGGAGGACTTATCCTCAGTACTCTGTCATTATCTGCAGTATTCATGGAGGTACAGATAGTAAAGTTGTAGAATTGAAGAGAGATAACACCTTTTGCTGTTTATTAGCAGAAAATATCCGTTCATTAGTGGGAGTAGCTGGACCAATACTGTACGGTATAATTAGGATTGCTCTCTGATTAATGGATTTAAAAAAAAAAAAAAAACAGGCATCGAGAGGCCCTCTACACAAGGCTGCTATCAGTGGACAGTTCGAAACAATCAAAGTACTTCTTGAAAGTGGTGAAGATGTGGAGAAAAAAGATCAGGTTTGAATTTTGTACAGTAATCTAATTTTAAGCCCGCTTCTCACGAGAAATCGTCGTATAGATGACCTTCGCGCCTTATGAAAGAGGCTAACGCATTGTGAATATGAATTATTATAACACGTGTTACGTTGGAATGCCGTTTCCCGGATATAAGACTATTAACAAGACGCGAACCATCTGTACGAGCTGTTTGCGTCCTATGTAAGACATGCCAGTTCTTATGTAGGACGTGCCTTATTGTTCTTGGCATATGTCAGCGATCGTGTTCATAGCGCGAAGACGTGTCTTTTTGGGTTCTTCCAATTTGAAGCTTTTATTCATCATCATCATGTCTCAGTTTCTGGAGGCTTTAATTCTCACCATGATTCTGTTAAACCACTTTTCCATTCGTCTCTTCTTGACCGGCTGAAGCGCCATCTTGAACTGGCTTGTTCTAGAAGTGCAGGTTATCTGTTCTCCAAGTTAATTATTTACGCAAACTCTAATTCTACCTCTCAACTGACGAGATTAACTACTATTGGCGACATTAGCTTGAATCCTGGCCCAGAAAGATGCTCTGTTTGTGGTAATTCCGTCACTCGAAACCATCGTTCCCATCCTGTGACTCCTACGAACTTTGGTGCCACATCAAGTGCGGTCAAATCACACCAAGGGAGTTTAAAAGGTTGTAATCACTCGACAACTTCAACTGAATTTTCCCGGTTTGCCTTGCCTTGTCTTCTGTCCCTATTGGCCATAAATCTATCTCTTTTCCTTCGAACTCTGGCCGTGACCTAAACTACTTTGATTTGTTTTTAACTTCAGTGAACACTCATGTCAGAAGATTCAAAACATCTTCGACCTTGTCCTTACATCGACACCTCTTTTAGTCAAGAACTGCAGTCAGCTATGGTCTTGTCCACTCCAATCATTTAGATGTCTCTTTTATCTACGTCAACTTCAACCCTCCAGCCCCTAGACCTAAATTTGTCTTTGACTTCAAAAAGGCCAATGTTAGTGTCCGCATGAAAACGTTGGAATATATCCCTGGAGTGTTTTAGTGCCAAATACGGACACAAACATATCTTTATCCAACTGGGAAGACCTCTTCTGGTCGGCCGTCAGTGAGTTTGTACCTAAAAAAAAACCCTGCGTTTGCCCCAACCACTCACCCTGAGGACATAAAAATTTTATTTCTAAACAAATATTTCATAAATAACCTCGTTTTTTGTCCTCTTTTCTCTAGTTTTCTTTGACACCTCTTCATCTTGCCTGTTGGTATGGACAGGAATCTGTGGTCAAACTGTTTTTAGAACACGGTGTGAAAGTCAACGCTAAGGACAGGGTGAGTAAGTGAACTTTCTTCAATTGAATAATACAGTGCAATGAAGGGGTGGGGTAAGGAAGGTTGTTGTTTGTCCTTATAACTGATTAACGAAGGAATCTGTTTATGTTGGCCAATTATTAAATTTACCCTAGCAACTGTATTGATACAACTGCCTATTTTACTATGGTACATAGCACATTTGTGTTATCGCAATAGTGATTTGTTAGTTCAGGTTTTTTCGTTGTGCTATTACAAAAGTTTTTATTTGTTATTCACCGGAAAAAAATGGGTGGTAGAAATCGTTGATTTACAATTAGTGTCAGGGAAGAATAAAATTAAACCCTTATAACCCTAAGCTTGGGAACCAAAATTATTATTCTAAACAGCAACAAAAACAAAAACTTGGTGAGACTCAAAAGGGGGAAGTTGGCAACATTAGGGCCATTTATACGAGGAAAAATAAGACGCGTCTTACATAAGACGCGTCTTAAATAAGACGCGAACTGTACAATTTATACGAGCATGTCTTATCTAATAAGACGCGTCTTATTTTAGACGAAATGTGCCGTTTATACGGAAAGTTCGCGTCTTATTTAAGACGCGTCTTATGTAAGACGCGTCTTATTTTTCCTCGTATAAATGGCCCTGTTGTGCTCCACTAAAACTTAAAGGGTCAGCCCCATGTACTCCTGGATTTTGGTGAGCTAACGAAAACCTAGCAGGGTGATATACACGCCGGTATGGAGGAGGGAGTTGGGTCTCCTCCCAGGGCCGACTGTGACCGGTCCTGGGTAAAGATGGAAGGTGCACAGACTTCCATAGGGGTAGCCTGCAATGCAGGCGTATTTTTGGTGAGTGAAACCTTGTTCGTTCGTAGTATTGTTGTAGCCGCCATCTTTGATTTTATGACAGTGGAAGATTGGGGAGAGTAGACTCCTCCTCTCTTCGGGAAGTTTCAACATGGTGCTTTCGCGAGCAACTTGCGCGCTCAAAGAAAACGCCTACACTGCAGGCTACTATAGGGGAGGGAATTGGGCCTCCCCCAGGGTCGGCTGTGACCAATCGTGCCGATATAGGGGGGTTGGGCCTTCCCTCATGGTCGGCTGTGACCAGTCGTGGGCCTCCCTGGGGCCCCCACTAAACTATATGTATATCCCAGGAGTACAAAATGTCGAGTCTATGGGGGCAAAAGTGTGACGAGAGGAGCACCTCATCCCCATTCTCACCTTTATTGAAAAACACAACTGTCTTCAGAGTAGAAGTAAACGAAGTACCAATTTGATGTGTCATATCAGTGCATCAGGTGAAAACTCTAAACCGAAAGGGACATCAATGTGTTGACACAGAAATTGATTATAACTATAGTGGGTTGGATGGGAGGGAAAAGAAAACTTCAAGATATTGTACTTTGGTCGTGAAGAAAAACCAGAGTGACGAAGCATATGGGAGTGCAAGCTAAGAAACATGGCAGAGTGCCATGTAGACCCCATGTAACTGGTCGAATAAACAACCAATAGCTCATTGGGTTCAATTCACGTGAGCTTTCACGTGAAAATTACTGGACTTGAGACAAAGCTCCAACAACAGTTGTTGATTAACTAAAATTTATTTCCGGTGATCAATAAATTATGATTTCTTCGAACACGTTTTGATTTGAACGTTTCATTGCACAGGCATTTGCTCTAATTCCAGCTGCGAAATGGGCCTTAAACTCTTACCTATATATCACCCTTGTTATGTTTCCTCCTCTCTTTCTGTATATTTCATTTGAGTACTTTTTCTTAGCTACATTGCAGTCGTTTATGGATGTTGCCAGAATTGTAGTATGCCTGTAACAGAATAGGAATGGCACCCCACTGGAGGGGAACTGCTCTTTTTTCTTTGCTGTTTTGGATTACCAATTATCTTTCCTACGCGATCGATACTTAGAGCCTATGGGAGCAGATGCCTTTTTCGTTTTTATTATTATTTTTTTTTTATTTTATTTTATTTTATTTTTTTTTTATTTCAAACAAAATGAAACAACAACGGGACAAGATTTTGTTCCCGCAGGCTACCCAAACCGTTTTTAATCTTTTCCTTTTTTAAGATTTTTTTTTGAGGTTAACATTAGATTTTGTTCAAGAACATTTCACTGAGTCCATGCTTCAACACTTATGTCCAGAATGGAATGCACATGCGAAATGCACACGATTTTTTGTTTATTTTTTTTGGTTTGGTTTGGTTTTTTAATGGCTCTGCTGTGTAATTTTTGTAGTTAACAGTACGTTGTGTTACGTTGTGTAGGCAAAGCGGAGATATGCGTTTATGTAGAGTTACCTTAGTTAAAACGTTTCTATGATAAATAGTCGAAAGAAGGTAACAAGATTAACTCTGCTTCAATAAAATGTTTTTAGTTTCAGCGTACTCCTCTTCAAAAAGCCGAACGTCAAAACCACCATTCTGTAGTACAGTTGCTGCTGAAGAATGATGCCAGGCCATGTCTTCATCAACCAGTAAGTTATGGCAGATTGTGTCCAAAAAAACTGTCTCACATTTCTGCTTTAACTTACTTAGTGTCAAATGGATTCCCTCTTTATTACTTTCTCTTAAAAGCTTGGTCATTTTTTAACAGGTCAGTCTAAAGAAACTCTCAAGGAGAGCTTTCGTGCAATTGGATAAACAGGCTGGATTTAATCTGCACAAGGCGGCTGTCATAGAGGGACAATATGACGTTGTTTTAAAAGCTCATGGCCTTCCAAGTTATAAAAGTATCAAAGGACTTTATAATGAGTGTGCTAAGGACAACAGTAGACAGACTAAGCTGCAGTTGGCTACATGTAGTGGTGATGCGGAACAAGCTGTTGAGCTTATATTAAATGACGGTGCAGCTATTAATGCCCGAGCGTCAGGTAATGATTACACAGTTTTGATGCAGGCGAGTCGTTCATCCTCAAGTCAGTTCATTGAGACAATCATTGATCTTGGGGCCGACGTTAATGCCCGAAGAAAATGGAGTAAAGAAACACCATTAACATTAGCAACTGTTTGGAACAACTATATGGCAGTGTACTTGCTTTTGAGGCACGGAGCTGTTGTAAATGTTCAGGATAGTTATGGATTCACACCACTGCACTTTTCAGTCAGAAAAAGTCACGAAAATCTCATCAAATTACTTCTTGCAAATAAAGTAAATGTAAATACTCAAGATAAAGATGGATATACACCCTTGCACTGGTGTGCCAAAAAGGGTAACGAAAACCTCTGTGGATTGTTACTTGAACATAACGCGGATGTAAATATTCAAGATAAAGGTGGATCTACACCCTTGCACTGGTGTGCCAGAGAGGGTAACAAAAACCTCTGTAGATTGTTACTTAAACACAACGTGGATGTAAATACTCAAGATGAAGATGGATATACACCCTTGCACTGGTGTGCCAGTAAGGGTAACGAAAACCTCTGTAGATTGTTATTTGAACACAACGCGGATGCAAATATTCAAGATGAAAATGGGTATACACCCTTGCACTTGTGTGCCAGTGAAGGTAACGAAAATCTCTTTAAATTGTTTCTTGAACACAATGCGGATGTAAATACTCAAGATAAAGGTGGATCTACACCCTTGCACTGGTGTGCCAGAGAGGGTAACAAAAACCTCTGTAGATTGCTACTTAAACACAACGCGGATGTAAATGCTCAAGATAAAGATGGATATACACCCTTGCACTTGTGTGCCAGAGAAGGTAACGAAAACCTCTGTAGATTGTTACTTGAAGGCAACGCGGATGTAAATATTCGAGATAATGATGGATATACACCGCTTCACTTCTTAGTCCTTGACCCTCATATGTTTAACGGTCAGATAATCGATCTCCTAGTGAAGTGTGGGGTGCAAGACATAAACACCCGCGATGCAAAAGGTTTAACCCCTCTTCAAATGGCAGTGAGACGTGGTAACGCACAAGCTGTGAAAAGGCTCGTTGATCTAGGAGCTGATGTCAGTGTGGTTAAGGATGCCGTTGAACTGAAACGCTTGAAGAATGAAGCGGGAAGTGTGGAGTAGCATCTTAAGTTTTAAATGGGGAGTCTGCGCAAAAGGCAAACGAAACAAAGTATACAACAGGTGTCGCTTCTGTTCAAGGGGCAGAAATACTCACAGAGTCTTATTTCAAATCAGAGAAAATACTAAGGCAAACTCCCTCTTACACGTATACAACAAAGGAAATAGAGGAAGAAACGGAAGCTGAACAAGTGAAGACACTGGCAGTGAGACACCCCAAATCAAAGGCGACTACATCCTCAAGAACAAACAAATGTGTAATGGTTGTGTTTTTGAGAAAGGCCTGGCTGTTTAATCCGTAAACGAGAAAAGCTTATTCTTATTAAGCTAACGTCAAACTAATTGGTACAAATTTAATGACAAAAATAACGAGAGTAACAATAATCCCCAAAATAATTTTTGAAAATTGTAAAATCGACGCTGTTACAAGAGTTTTAACCGACGTTTTGGCAATGCTACCTTCTTCAGGGTACAAAACTATTTTCGAAAAAGTTAAAACGTAATTGGGCACGTGAGCTATGCAATTAAAGGAACATTTTAACGGAGAACTTTATAACGGTGTATATTCATTTTGTACCCCGAACAAGGCAGCATTGCCGAAACGTCGGTTAAAACTCTTGTACCAGTGTGTATTCAAAAATTTTCAAATTAACATAAGTAACTACGCGACGCAGGGGTTTTAATCTTGCCTAATAATGAAGAGTTCTTCAAATTTTTCATCTGTTGTGAATAATTGTCTTATATCATAAACAATGCAATTAGATTTCAGATTTTTTTATTTTTTGCACTATCAGAAGAAGTTAATGTAAACAGGTAGATTACAATCCTGTACAAAAACTGAAAAAAAGGGAGAATAACTAATTTCATAAATGATGATAAATGGTAAAAGGTAAAATGTACGTAGTGACCAAAGTAGCCCAGGCCTTAGTGTTAGTCACTGCCACATGCAATTAATTGGCGTAGATATATATTTTCATAAAACTACAAGTAATGTAGTTAATTATTACTAGTAGGCACCGGAAGATAAATCAAATTCCCTTATAGGGTGTTTAAGTTTGTATCACTATAAATTTGTCATTTTAGAAGCACTAACAGCAAAAGTGACAGCTCCCTGTTTATTACTTATCCCTGGACGATTGAAATTGAGGTTAGTTACAAATCTGGTGTTATGCTATGGATCTCCTAGAGGCTTAGTTAAGGATTGCAAAAAATATTCTTAGGATGTTTGTTGAGTAATTAGTTGTTTTACGTGTAAAAAGGGCGTACTTTGAATTTGTAGATGTTTCAAGTATAAGAATGTCTGAAAGTAGTTTCCTTGAAAAAAAAAATTAAAATTATAGCATAGCTGGAATATTCGCGTAACTGGTCAAATTGTTATTCAATAGCGTCAATGTGATTCATATTCCAGTTGAGCACGCTGATAACGTCAACAAACTAATACTTAGAGTTCTTATGAGCTTAGTAATCCTGCCAAGTGTATCCATGACTCAATAGTACACGATGACGCGTTTCCGATCTTGTCTTAAATGTCTCAGATGATCGAGGTGACACTAAGCCGTTAGCCTTGTCTCCTTCTTTTCTTATATCAATTGGAAGGGACAACGTAAAAAAAAAACTTACACTGGTGTTCGAAAAGAGTTGGGAACGCAGATCCTGGTGGTGTGGTCTATCTCTCATGAGGGTAGGGGACGTTTAGGGGCACGCAGTGCTGTTGAAGTTACTCCGCCAAAATTGTCGAATCTAAATAAATAAATAAACATGTAAATTATACGCGGTTCATTAAATGATGTAATGGCCTTGACTGTACACAACGCACGATCAGTCTTTCTTTCTTCCATTGTGCCCGGTCATCGGTTTTCCCGTTATACAGTGCCGCATTATTTTATCAACTTCGTGTTAGAAATAATACCGATAAAATAATTTTTTTGCCATCAAAACCAATTTGCCCGGTTAATTAGACATCGAACTGATAATTATTGCTATTTTTTTACTAGATTGTTTTTGGGTTCTGCAGTATTTTAATAACCGGGGGCTATTTGATAGTAACAAGCCAATGAGTTTCTGGATTTATGACGTCTTTTAAAAGTGCTCTGAGAGGAAAACAAATTCGTAACCCACCGACAACCTCTACCTCCACGTAGTCAAACATCTAAGGCGTTTTTGCCAAAAAGTGTTATTTGCGGGGATTGTATTTACTGCTACTGAAAGTTGACACCTCTACTAAATATGTTGACACAGAGAAACGATGCACGAAATGATAAGTTACCGCAACGGTAACAAAGCCTTTTTTGTTTTTTTTAAAAACACTACGAACTTTTTGAGTAGCCTTTCAGGAAGTTCAACTCTCAACAGTGAAGCAGCAACCCTAGTTTTGATTTACTTTGCTTAGCGTTTTCATATCTGACTTAAAATCGTTTGACCGCCGTGAAAGCACCCTCCCTTCCCTTGTCTCACGTTGTAGCTGTAGCTGAAGTTCAAAGCTGAAAGTCGTTCGTCCGTGGCAGGCAAAGTCGAGTATCCAACGCTGCGGTTCATTTTTATCCTTGGTTTACGTTATATTTTCTTTGTTCTAAACTCATTATCGTACATTGCCATACATCAAAACAGAGGAAAATAAATCTAAACCAAGGATAAAATTTAACCACAACCAGGAGTACCCGACGGAGCCGCTCGACAAAATACCCGCTCTTCAGGCAGATTTTGAGCTAGCTGGAAAAAAAAAACATTGGCTAATTAGCTGGCTGGGAAATCTGAATGAGCGCCTCGCTAGCTGAAAATATGAAAAATTTTTGCCGGTTCTGGCTGGATAAAAAGGTATATATTTTCTCCTGGCAATCGCACTGTAATTTTTTATATGGATATTAGAGCGGGCGAAGCAAGTAAGTGCGCGTGAAAATAACCCCACGCGAGCTGCGGAAATGACACCTTTTTCCTGTGAAAACGGAAATTTGTTCTGTTTGTTTGGGTGTGTAAGCAAAACGTCCTGCTGTGAATACCTTGTAAAAGATACACGTAGTGAGAAAATGACACAGTTGAGTCAAGCACCGCTCACCGCTTTGTTTTTAGTCGTTTCGCTGTCGATCCTTTATAGAAAACACTTTTGTGTGTTCGTGTTTTTTACTATGCCTGTCTACATATCAGCTACTGGCCTACGTTCTACTTAAATCCTGATGTTTCTTTGTCAGGTTGCCGTGCATGTGTATCGAATTAAGAACATTCGCTAATGCACATAAATGCCATCAAATTTTGAGAGGATTGAATACAAAAACTCTCTCCAATAAATAATACACTCTGGTCTCTTAGCGAAGTGAACTCAGAACTGATTTCATTCGGTATGCTCGTTTGCAATGTTTTCCAGGTTTGCTTGCGCGCTCTGGAATATTTCCGTTGGAACCAATTTCTCTTTTGTTATGTGCTCACCGGGGCGGGAAACTTCCTCGATCTATGGTCATTTGGAAGGCGTTTAGCAACTGTACAGATATCTGTTAGGATCGGAAAAGGTAGGAAGATTTTACTTTTGTACTACCCGTATATTGACGTATTTCGCGTCCGTTATAGTAACTGTTGTTTTTAAAAAAGGCGACATCCAAGTGTGCCGTTGCATTTCAATGCTCACGTCTGTGTAGTAAATTGTAGTATAGCGGGGTAAATCCCGAACGGCTATCATTCTTTGACTTTCATACCAGTGTCTGTTTTAACGCTGAGGCATTTCTTGCTCTTAAAGCTTTTTATCGTATAAATTGTAAGAGCTCTGTTAGCAAATTTATTCATGTCTTCGAACACAGTGACTCAGATTACACTTTTTTGGTGATGTTTCCCCGCTGTAAGACCTAAAATTTGACAGCGGGCGTTACCGACCATGGTTACATTTGAGAGGCTCTTTGGCCAATGTAGAAAAAAAGAATAAAAAATAGTTTACAATTTTCTTGCCAAAAAATGAAAAAAAATTACAAATGTAAACAGTATTTACACATTTTTTCTAAAACTGCCGCAAGCAGGGTTTAAACTGGACAATTGAATAAACAAATTAATAGACAACTATGTTGTTCTTTTTGCAACCATTTGTCGTGAAGAACAGGATATTTTTCTTTGGAATTTTTATTTTTTTCTGGTTATCATGAAGTTATTGCTTTCTACAAAATAATCGCCCTCACAACTCAACCGTAGCCTGCGCAAAAGGCGTCATTAAGGTGCTTAGGGTTGTTTAGAGGCGCGAGCGCGAAGCGCGAGATACCAGGGTCGTAACCAGGTATATGGGATCAGGGATCACAGTCCCGGGATCGGGATCATAGACCCGGGATCCCGGGTCACAAGTCATGGGATCAGGATCAGCCATTTTTTGTGTGTCTTTGAGGGATCAGGGATCGAGCTTTTCAGATACTTCATTATTAATGAGAAACTAGAATACTTCGTTTTGCAAGGAAAAAGACCTCTTTTCAGGTCTATTGAAAAAGCTTAAACCTGGCTTTATAATATTTTAGCGCTTCCGTCACGCAATCAGCAGTTTTAAAGCTTACCTTACTCGTATTTCATAGTTGACGTCCAGCGGTTTTACTGAAAACAAGGGTTTGGCTGGGGTGCTCAGTCTCGCAGGCTCATAAAACCTGGTCATATTGCATTTACTCGCGCATTTGCGGTTTGCGCTGTGTTGGACTCTCGAAGAAGAGCAAGATGGGCAAGTCAAGGAAAAGAAGTCGAGAACGACGGTATGAAAATCTAACTACTATTTGGCAATTTTTACCACACTCTTGCCATATTTTTCTGTTCAGATCATGGTTGTAAAATGCTGTGCGCAAATTGAAGGCCACTGTTGTTTATATTTCCAGATCACGTTCCTATTCCTGGTCGCCAGCGAGAGAACAGAGGGAACGGTCACAGCGATCAGCGAGCCGAGGGCGACCTTCAAGCCGGTCAGTTAAGTGTTCTACAAATTCCTCTATTCAGCTTGATAAATTATTCAACATTAGATTCTCATAGGAACACTGTAATTTCTCACGCGGTTATGGCTTCAAAAACCGTGACAAGGTCTTCACTATTGCAATGCGCAACTGTGTCAGAAGGAGTAAATAGAGTAATAGAGAACAATGCATCAGATACATTGTCCTTGACAGATTTTAAAGGACATTTTTCTTTACGCAGACCTCGGAAATCTCGGTCGAAAAGATCTCGTTCACCGAATCGTCATCACAGACATGAAATGCATCAACGACCAAGGTAAAGCTAATTCGTTTTTTGTAAATCTGATGCCCTGTGTTATATGATGAGCTGATCGGTAAATTTTAGACGACAAGGGTCTTCTTCACATTGCTGAAGTCATTGACTTTTCAAGTTTCGCAACCTTGCAGGTCGAACATTTCTTTGCCGGGATGAGGACACCTAGTAGGCCGACACGAGACATACACGATTATGCGAGCCGGCGGCCAAACTGCATCATTGAGTCGCTTCAGAAAACTTATCAGTCTTCCTTCGTTGTTTACAGTGGTCCTCAAAGTCACTAAATCGAAAAGAAAGTGCACAAAAAAGAACCTGAATGGCTCTATGAACGCTGTAAGGCAAGGATTGTGCATACTGTGGAAGAGGGTGATCAAACCAGGGAAGGGGCTAAGGAGCTTAGGCTTTTCCCCAAAGAGTTTGGACAAGGAGTTAGACAGCAAAGGGTGAGGGGTGAAACCCAAGAAAAACCTGGAACACTACCCTTGGCTATTTCGATGATGAAAAGAATCATGGCGCCCCAAACTCAAAGTTTAAATATGCTTGAAGAACTCCAGGGCCTTTACGAAGAACGTGGTGATCACCTGGTTACCGGGACGTCAGTGGAAAACTACAGAGTTGTTTTTTCAAAAGGAGAAGTTGTCGCTCTTAAGCATAACTACACAGGACGTATCTGGAGCCTTTTTTTCTAAAAATTCTCTGCGAAGATCTTCACAGCAGGAATGATTGTTTCTCGGAGGAAAAACTCAAAATAAATTGGCTTGAGCAATCAGAGGAAGATCCGTTAGTCTACAATGAGGAAACTTCTACGATCAAAATTCACCAAAATGCATCATGCACCGAGTATCTGTTGATCGGGAGGCTGAACAATTTATTTCAAGAAGGAAAGAAGAACGGCGTCTCCAGAATTTGGCTAACGGGCTTCTAGACAACGAATCAGACGACAGTGACGATTAGAGTCAGGAAGAGGAGAATCTTGCAGAAGTGAAAGACCAAGAGCATAGTAGCAGAACCCGGTTTGAGGATGGACGCAGTAGACCTGGGAGAAGAGTCACCAGATATCTTCTTTAAATACACGTTTTGCATTTTGAGCCACAATTTCACTATTAACGTTAAAAGCCGACGTTTCGGTATCATCATGACACCATTCTCAAGGCAAAATGAATAAATAATGCCTTGAGAATGGTGTCATGATGATACCGAAACGTCGGCTTTTAACGTTAATATTCGCTTGCTTATGTTTTAAGAAATCGTTATTGATCAAGAATTTCACTATTGCGATAAAATGGAAAAGCTTAAAATAGCAATAATGAGGCTACAAGTGGCAGAAATGAAATATTAGCATGCAAGAGTCACGTAAACACTTTTAGTGCTCGAGTGGAGTCTTTTTTAATGTTTAACACCGGTCTTATTTTCTCAATAAGCCTTTCTCATAGTCCTTCGTGGTTGTAGGTGGCCTTGTGCTCTCTTACCTTGTGCTTCGCGCTCGGTCTTGAACCGCATTGTGTATATTTTTCTCCTTGCCAGCTCACCTTTCGAAGCTCGACTTGAAGGCAATTCTATTCGTTAATGAACAAAGTCTCAAAAATCAAACAATCGAACTTCGATCCACCTTTCTTCATAATTGAAAATTCGATGGTATAAGTGTCGTGCCTTATATAGATTCTTTTGCCATATATTTAGATTCAGTCCTTTTATTCATTTCTTACGTGACGTTAACTTGAAGCCGTCGAAACGTGGAGATTTAGTTTTTTATTTAATTGTCGTCTATATCTCGTCTACTTTTATCGCATTGTTTTATAGAGTGTTTTCTGTTGCTCATAGCATCATACGATTTTTACATTTCTCCACCAAGAAAGTTTTGAAAAAGTCAACTAATCAGGTAATGTGTAATGGACCGAGCATTTTTCAGAAGCAAGCAGCAGAATTCCAATAATTCCTTAATACATCATGGAACACAAGATGAGAACGTGATTCAGAATGAACAAATAAACATCTACTTGAGGTAAATACGCTTAGTTGCTATTAATGAATGATAATCGACGTCGGGGAAACATAACTTGATCACATCTCTCTATGGGATCATAAAATTTACGTGGGATCAGGGATCAAATTTTGCTACATTTTGGGATCAGGGATCAAAATTTGGAGCTAAAAATTGGGATCAGCGATGAAAAAATATACCTGGTTACGACCCTGAGATACGCAGTAGGACGCAGTTACGTCACGTTTGCCGTCTTCAACTCGATTTTTAAACGTACCGAAGAAGGTTTCGCCTAAGCTTATCTTATTGCCAAAAACTACAAGAATTTTTCTGTAGCTGTATTAAAACTGAAGTACTGTTGATGTTCGCAAATTTGCTATGACGGTCGCTTCAAGCAAACTGATAAAGGTATTGTTGCATGCATTTTACTTTGGTGGGTCTCTCTGTACCCAAAGCAAAAAAAGCTTGCCTTCCTTGGTGTGATCTTACTTACATTTGTTTCAAATGCGCTTCGATTCTATAACTTGTAGACATCACAAGACCATCGCATGCACGACATAAGGTTACATGCCTTTATAGGTGATTGTCTGACTGCAAAACAAAACATTCTTGACTTACATACCTCTATTGGCTTTTGCTGCGAAACTTTGCACCAGTTCTGGTGTGAAACTTTTACGGTGATTGCCTGACTGACCACGTACGACTACTGGCTTTTGCTGCGAAACTTTGCACCAGTTCTGGTGTGAAACTTTTACGGTGATTGCCTGACTGACTACCTAGGATTACTGGCTTTTGCTGCGAAACTTTGCACCAGTTCTGGTGTCAAACTTTTACGACGATTGCCTGACTGACTACCTAGGATTACCGGCTTTTGCTGCGAAACTTTGCACCAGTTCTGGTGTGAAACTTTTACGGTGATTGCCTGACTGACCAGCTTACTGACTTTTGCTGCGAGACTTTGCACCAGTTCTGGTGTGAAACTTTTACGGTGATTGCCCGACTGCCTACCTAAGACTACTGGCTTTTGCTGTGAAACTTTGAACCAGTTCTGGTGTGAAACTTTTACGGTGATTGCCCGACTGACTACCTAGGATTACTGGCTTTTGCTGCGAAACTTTGCACCAGTTCTGGTGTCAAACTTTTACGATGATTGCCCGACTGACTACCTAGCTACGACCACTGGCTTTTGCTGCGGAACTTTGCACCAGTTCTGGTGTGAAACTTTTACGGTGATTGCCTTACTGACCACGTACGACTACTGGCTTTTGCTGCGAAACTTTGCACCAGTTCTGGTGTGAAACTTTTACGGTGATTGCCTGACTGACCACGTACGACTACTGGCTTTTGCTGCGAAACTTTGCACCAGTTCTGGTGTGAAACGTTTACGGTGATTGCCTTACTGACCACGTACGACTACTGGCTTTTGCTGCGAAACTTTGCACCAGTTCTGGTGTGAAACTTTTACGGTGATTTCCCGACTGACCACCTACGACTACTGGCTTTTGCTGCGAAACTTTACACCAGTTCTGGTGTGAAACTTTTACGGTGATTTCCCGACTGACTACCTACGACTACTGGCTTTTGCTGCGAACCTTTGCACCAGTTCTGGTGTGAAACTTTTACGGTGATTGCCTGACTGACTACCTACGACTACTGGCTTTTGCTGCGAAACTTTTGTGGTGATTGTCTGACGACATACCATTACGGCTTCTTGGCTACAGAAAGAATGAGTGAGTAAGATCAAACTCAGGATGACAAGCTCTTACTAGTGCGGAGAAAGTTACTACAAGAACACGTTATCAGTCTGGCGTTAAAAAGTTAACTGTTGCCATAGCATATTTGAAAACACGGACAGAATTGTTTTTCTATACCGCAACAGAAAGTCGTTGTTTGCTGTCAGGCATTTACGTAAATGACGAAAGAGGAAACCATCCTCCCCACGTTGAAACTCGAGTTAAAGACCGCAAAAGTTACCTTACTTTGTGGGTTCGTGGTTTTCAGCCGTAGCGGTTAGAAGTTTCCGACGGAAAGCCTGTTTACTCGAAACTTTCTATCAGTTCTGGTGTAAACTTTTTGCGGAGTAACAGTAGGCACGGCATACAATGCTGGCGATAAGCATGTGTCTACACTGAATTTGGGGTGATTTTTCAGAGGAGACCACACGTAGATCGAGCTTACTTGTTATGTTGTTTATTCTTAAACTTTATTTCGCCTCAGTTGATTATCGTTGGAAAAAATGCATTGGTCTTAAGGCTTTGCGGTGATTCCTTTTTTACGTGTTATTGTGTTATGGACAAAGTTCGGGATCTTCCTTTTTTCGTGTACCTGGCAAAAACTCGAGACTACTCCTCAAGTCCACATTCCAAAACTGTAAGTACCGATCTTGCCTACTGACTTACATGTTTTTCTTTTTAAATGAAACTTTGCTGGCTGGCTCATAACCTACTTCTGCTACCGCTGGCTGGCAAATACCGAATTCCGTTTCACTCTGGCTGGGATTGCGTAATTTTTGTTTTTTTAACCTTGCTGGCTGGCAAAAAACCGTCAAACATGATTGCTGGCTGGGATTTTTATTTTCTGAAAGTCTTGCAGGCTAGCAGTGAAGAGCGGATATTTTTTTCCCAGGAAAGTTAAATATTAACATAAGTTGACGTAAAAGCACTTTGCTAGCGTTTACGACATCGTATGATCAATTTTGCGAAAAAAGTTCGTTGGGTACTCCTGCACAACATCCACACTTTTATGACCTATTGCCACTGAAAGGACTTCCAAGGATATTTAGCAAACAATGTGTATCATCAGAAGGCATAATTTTCACTGTACGCATCGGATACGATTGTTTGCGATGTTTGCATGAAGCAAAGCAAGAACGCTTATTACAAGAGCCAAGAGTCTTAAGAATACAAATATTGGTAATATCAAACACAAATGGGAATATTTTCAATCGCTGGAGCCTTTTTAAACCAGGAGCCCCTGAAGACGGATTTATTAAACTTTAGGTGAATTTTTCAGACAGAATTTGTAAGGGTGGGTGTTTTAAAAACGCATCTGCTCCCCAGGGCTAGGTTGCATAAAACCTTCTTAAGAACCTTCTTAAGATAAGAGGGCTCTTAACTTTTGTTCTGAAACAATAACCTATTGTTTTGAAATAATAGTTAAGAGTTCCCTTAATCTTAAGATGTTTTTTGCAACCCGGCCCAGGACATAGCCTGTGAACAGGCTCTCTGTTTGGAGAAAAAATAGCGAGGAAAGGGAAGGGAAAAGGGGGAGAGAGCCTGTAGACAAACGTTTGAGGCCGCTATTTCGCCCTTTTGTAATTATCCTGCCGATCATCTGTCAGTAAGGTCGTTATCTGTCAGTCAATTTCGCGCGTGAGTAACTCCTGGGAAAATTAACGGGAAATGAACGGTGTTTTGCTCCATCTGAAAACAGAGTGAAATGGAGCGCGAGCCTCATTGTTGATTTTGCAAAAAGTTTTTGATCTCCGGTAAGAAAATTAATACGGTGCCGGTCTTTGGCGTTTCAAGAAATCAGACCTTACTGGTTGGCAGTGGTCAAGACAGCGTTGTACTAGCGCAAGCATTTGAATCCTTAAGATTTCCGCTTGTAGAGCAAGGAGAAAGCTTTTCCGATTTAAGCTGCTTAACTTGTGCGCGATAGCCCGCTCGTCTTGCTAGTTCAGTTTCTAATTTAACAAGCCCTGCAATG